TTATTTTAGTAGTTAGAATTTATTATACTTTTAATTTTTTATACACTACTCTTAAAAAATATTTACTTGTGGCCAGTTATCAGCGATTTGCGAAAAACATGTTTACTTACAAGAAACGAAATTCATTTAAAATGAGGTCAATTAGGAATATAGGCGTTTTTTTGTAGAAACGTTTTTACCAGAAAGGGAGTGGGCGAAGGAAATGCTTCTGAAGGCCAACATCGGATATAAGCACAGTCAGGCGGCAATTAAGATCTTTAGCCTCATGTGTGGTAAAGGCAAAATTGTATGACATCCATGGCAGAAATCAGTGACACCAATGACCCTGGCATAGGTACCTGGGCATTCGTGACATGGTGACAATAAATGCTGGCCAAAATAGGAGCCAATATGGGCTCTTTGGGCGCCGAAACTTATTGTGGCCTTGCACCTTGTCAGTAAAAAGGATACATCCAAAAACGGATTCTTATTTCTCCTTAAAACCTGGTGGAACAACACCCCAAGTATGAGGTACGCCGGACTTAAAAAGCAATTACTGGAGTGTAACCGCAACAGGACCTGGTTAGACTCCTGACAAGGCGCTCCGGCCTAAGAAGGCATATGGACCGGATTGTACTGACAGAAGGGACATTGCAGATACTGCCAGGAAGAAGAAAACAGCAGAACACGTTATATGTTTCTGTGAGGTTTTATGTAGGTGTAGATTCCTGCAACTATGGAAGGAAAAACTACAAGCAAGATCATACTCTAAGGAGAAGCCGCTGGCAAGTCGATGGACGTTGTGATTAACAACCTTTAACTTGGTGGGTGATTTATAAAATTAAAGGATCATACTACTCTTAAAAAATATTTACTTGTGGCTAGTTATCAGCGATTTGCGAAAAACATGTTTACTTACAAGAAACGAAATTGATTTAAAATGAGGTCAATTAGGAATATAGGCGTTTTTTATAGAAACGTTTTTACCAGAAAGGGAGTGGGCGAAAGAAATGCTTCTGAAGGCCAACATCGGATATAAGCACAGTCAGGCGGCAACTAAGATCTTTAGCCTCAAGGGAGGTAAAGGCAAAATTTTATGAAATCCACGGAAGAAATCAGTGACTCCAATGTCCCTGGCGTAGGTACCTGAACATTTGGACATGGTTTTTTTAATTTTTTTTTTTATTAATTAAATTTATTTATTAAAACTGGTCTTACTAGACCAACCAGTAATTTCACAATAATATTATAGAATAAATAAATATTTACATTCTTATAAACCCACTGGTACAATAAGATTTACATTTCACTATTCGCTATTAATTTTTAACTACACAAGTTCATATGGATTTGTTCTTTTTAATCTTCTGACCATGGTTCGGTTATGTAAGAGTTTGGTCGCTTCCACATTTTCGTGCTGGCTGAGGCGAGCCTGGTGTTTGGCGGCAAATCTTCGTATTTCCGCCGAGACTTCAGGGATCTTAAGATCCCTATGTAAGTCCTTATTCATTATGTACCAAGGTGCATTGACCATGTTACGTAAGATTTTATTTTGGAGTGTTTGTATGATTTTGATATTGCTGTGTTTGGTACAACCCCATAGTTGAATACCATATGTCCACATAGGCTTTATGACTTGTTTATATAATAATATTTTATTTTGTATAGCAAGATTGGAGCCACGTCCTATCAACCAGTATAGTTGTCTATACCTTAAACCTATTTCTGTCCTTTTTTTCTTCACGTGTTCTTTCCATCTCAGCTTGGCATCTAAGGTCATTCCCAGATATTTAGCTGTATTACTGTATGGTATAGTAGTTCCATCGATTGTGAGCGACATCTACTTTTTTTGTTTGTAAAGGTTAGATGAACTGATTTATGCTGATTTAGCTTGATTTTCCATTTTTTTTGTCCATTCGTTTATCTTATTACATGCATTTTGGAGGATTTTGGTTGAATGGTGACAACACCGCTGTGTCATATGCAAACGTTGCAATTTTTACTCCATCTATTTTCGGAAAATCACTGGTGTATAACAAGTAAAGCAGTGGACCTAATATGCTCCTTGTGGCACTCCTGCATTTATTGCTTTTAATTTTGAATATTGATCTTCTTGTTTCACTCTAAACAGTCTGTCAGTTAGGTAGGAACTGAAGATATCGACATACTGCTTTGGTAGCATACCTTTTAGTTTACTAATGAGTCCTTCGTTCCAGACCTTGTCAAAAGCTTGTGAGACATGAAGGAAGATAGCAGAAAAAATTTGTTTTTCTTCAAGAGATTTTTCTATTACATCCGTTACTCGGTGAATTTGGTCTATTGTTGAATGTCTTGTTCGGAATCCAAATTGGTGGTCAGAAATGATTTTCTTTTTATCTACGATGTGTTTTATTCGTTTTAATAATAACTTTTCGAAGAGTTTAGACACTGTTGGTAGTAGCGATATTGGTCTATATGATTTGATCTCGTTCCTGTTTTTTTTTTTATCGTAATGACTTTTGCGAATATCCAGAAGCTGGGAACATATTTCAGTCTGATTGCAGCATTAAATGGATATGTTAATTTAACTTTTTTGGCAATTGTTTTAGTATTTCTCCAGTGATAAGGTCATATCCTGGAGTCTTTTTAGCGGGTAAATTTTTAATTTCTTTTGCTACTTCTTTAGGTGAAATTAGCTTTATATTTTCTTCTTGTGGCGTGGTTGTTATTTCAAAAAAGCTGCCATTGATGATTTCATTTTGTTTGAAGATTTCAGCAAGGCAACTAGCAAACAATTCGGCTTTTTCTCTGCTATCTCTCGCCCAAGTGCCATCCTCTTTTTTAATAGAGGAATTTGGGCGATTGGTCTTTTAATTTTTTTATGGCCTTCCACAGCGAGTAGTCAGTGGCTTCTCCTGGTGTTAGATCTAGATAGTTTCTGATTGAGTCGTCATGTAGTTTTTTTTTTCTTTCGTTTAAGTTTTTGAGACATATTGTTAAGAATATTTTTGTCTGCAGGGTCTCTTGATTGTTGCCATCTTCTCCTAGCCTTTCTTTTCTGGTTTATTAGTTCTTTAATTTCCTTGGGGAAGTTGAAGCCAATTATTTTATGGAGAGGCTGTCTAGTATTCACCATGCTGAAGCCTGAATGATTGAGGTGAACACCTCTGCTGCGTTATCTAATTGTTCTTCCGTTTTTAGAAGAACATTAAGGATTGTTTTTGCATCCACGTCTAAGGAAAAACTACTCCAGTCAGTTTTTGGACATGGTGGCAATATATGCTGATCAAAATAGGAGCCAATTCATTCTAGACGCCAAAGGCCTAGCACCTTGTCAGAAAAAAAAGGATACATCCAAAAACGGATTCTTAACTCTCTTTAAAACCTAGCGGAACAACACGCCAAGCATGAAGTACGCCTGGCTTACAAAGCAACTTACTGGAGTGTAACCGCTACAGAACCATATTATTATATTATTATATATTATGAAAAATGGCAAAAAGGAGGGAAAACTCATAAGGTGGGTTGAGATAGGAAGTTGATGTCCGAGTGGATCGAGGTCACGATAGCTCAAGTGGTAGAGGAGCGGCGTATCTAGCCGAAGATCGTGGGTTCGAATCCCGCTCGTGCCATTAGCTTTTTTTCATCTCAACTAAAAACCTTAATTAATTGTAATGTATTAATTGGTCAAGCGGACCACGAAATTAGTGAATATATTATATATTATTTCTACCTTACCAATCCTCCAACCACGGTTTTTTCTTTTCCTTCATCAATTTCTTCATCTTTGTACAAAGTACTTAAGAAAGTAATTGTACCACTAAAACGGAGATAAAATGGAGTACTTTTTCTGAAATTTGCTAGTCTCAAGGTTTGAAAATAGTAGTTTAGAATCATCATAGTACGTTATTCAACTTTAAAAAAAAACAACATTTTTTTCAAAGTTCTTGCTACTTAAACGCTTATTTCACGAAGGTTTACAAGTTTAGTACTGATCACCTCTTATTGGAAATTTATCGTAGTTTTCGATGGTATCAACGCATTTGTCTAAAACCTTTTAATTTTGGAGTTATCATTGTTTATTTGAAACAAAGTAGTGAAATCATAAAAAAGCAGAAAAAGTGGAATTACTCCGAAACTGTTGTGATTCGTACCGTAGTTCATTAGGACTTTTTGGTTCTATTTTGAATGTAGAATCTATGGGCAATGTTTATAACACGAGTAGCCGAACACCCTGTGCATATTATTGTTATTATCTTCTTGTTTGATCCATCAGGGATAATCTGAAGTTTACTATCATGTATTATTTCATTGAAAGGTTGAAACGCAAATAAAAGTGGTTAAACTGGGCTGTTTTTATGTTGAAAAGTCTATCATCTTGCCTTTTTCAAAGTGAAGAATTCAGCAAAATAATTATAAATTGAAATACAGTTTATTTTACCCAGGACAGTACTAGGATAAAAAAAATTCAGTAAATAAGGTTTGGAAGCAAAGTTACAGCTTAAATAATACTGGTAATATTGGAGGACAAGGGATTTGATGTCTTTGATGTCTTTTCGCATCTAATTAATTCACGCCCAGTTTTAATTTAATTTTAATCGTGACAGATCGTTAAAACGATTTCTTTGATTTTAAACACCAAAAAAGTGCACAATTAAAAAGTTAGACAAAATTGGGTCGCGTGTTATTTCCAGGTCAAGGAACGTTTTTTAAAAGTGCTAACAATTTCCAGGCTGAAAAATGGATATAGCACGGCTGTAAATTTTCATCCTGATCCCAATAGAATAAACCGCTTGGTCAGTGCAATTCCGGGAACAAAACCGTAGGGTTTATTATTCGTTTTGCTTTTTGTGAGAAAGTAAACGGCAGTACCTCCGAAATAGGAAGATTACATAAAGAATAGAGAAAAGAAGGGGAGAACGGTTAGATTGTATCAACATAAACTTCGTCTGCCCTAAACAGGCCACTAACTCAGGCCGTCCCCTTTTTTTTACAAGGTTAAAATTTCTCCCTACGGTTTCTCCTTGGTTTTGAAAACTTACCGCAGGTGTAGACCACTTTTAAATACATCCTCGAGTCCTTCCGGCACGGGCTGCCGAATGTGGCCGCATCCGCCGACAAAGTGCACCTCCTCTTTCCATGACAGATTTGCATCACTGTTTCCGTAGCATAACTGACGAGGCATGCTGAAACAAAGAAAGACGATAAAAATTATGAAATGGACATAAGTTATTAAATTGTACAGTGGATTAAAAGTTGTTGACTCTAATAAGTAATCAAATTTATCTGTTTTTTTTTTTTTACTTTTCTAGAAAATCTAGATTGGGGTCGATGGAGTACTTTTATAAATATTCCACCATCGACCCCGAACACATACTCATACGCTCTCAATTCGAGGGGCGATGATGACGTTATATTTCACCCTCACCCCTCGCCATTCACGCTAATAAGTACATTCACTCAGACAAAACATATAGACACACATATAGACATATTATATAAAATAAAAAACCGCAATTTCCCCTAAAAAGCGGAATAGGGGACCCAAAAACCGGCTGCAGTTCTGGAGTACCATGTTCAGATTGGATGGCATGCCTACACGCTCCCTGTCGGGAGCCAAGGCATTACATGTTTCCAGTATGTGGGACACATCGAGCAATCTTTCTCTGCATAATGGACACCTGCGCGGTTTATCTGTTATTGATTTTCTTTATAGATTGACAGGGATTCAATGTGCTCTGTTCTACAAGGTAAATGTCCGGAAGAGTAACGGGTTCCTTCACAGGCCATTGTGTTCTAGATTTATTTGTATATCCAGGGGGTTCCATTTTCCCATTGAGACAAAAGAGTGCAAACAGTGTTAAAAGTTTTAACCGGTTGTGATCGTTTTGGATAAACTTTGAAAGTGGGCGATTTACAAAACAAAACCCCTTTTCTTGCTACTTTGAAAACATATTTATCATTCGGTAATTTATAGTCCGGAACATTTAATGTTTTTGTTTTCTTGGACGCCTTGTTAGTTAATATTGATGTTTAATATCCGTAAAATTAACTTGTAACTTGTTAAAATAACTGAAACAGGAGACTATTTATAGAGACGAGGGTGTATTACAATTCACAAGCTTTGGTAAAGGTCCTCTCAGGGCTGCTAATTGGGTTGATTGTTTATGATTCTGGCTGTTGTATAGCTATTATGTTGTCGATAAGTGCCGGGACGGGTCGTCTTAAACTTAAACGAGTCGAATTAAAGGGAGGAAAAGGAAAGGAAAATTCGTATGGGTATTTTTTTGTTTATTGCCGTTCCGAAAGGCGCAGAAGGAAGTAATATCCAGATGAAAACCTTCCTTTGCCTTCTGGAAATATATTGCCAATCAAAAAATATGAATCGGGGAAAAGAGTTTTTCTTTTTACACAACAATGTTGTCTTTCTTTCTTTAAAATAATGAAAAGAACACTGTGCTCGTTAATTTAAACAAAAATGGATTTTCTTTGGAAACATGTTTAAATTATAAACAAAACACTATAAATTTGCAGTCTTTTAGTTTACGTATTGCTAGTTCACTTGGTTTAAAACCTCCTATTTACAGGCATCAAGGTTCAATAGTGGTTGAATTAAAGTTTTAGAAAGCTCAAACGGGATCATTATTTTGACTATTTATACGACGTTTCTTTGGAAGGGTTGGACCCGCTGGATATTATATGGGATTTAATGACTGTGGAAACTCTATCAAAGCTGGTAGTGCTGATAGACCGAAGCTAGATCTAAAGCGGCATAAGCCGGGAACACACCCGATGCTACGCCATGCGACGCTACCCGATGCTACCCGACACAAATCCAAATTCATAAGTTTGCGTTAGCCCCGTGCACATCTGCCCGATGGTATGCCACGCTAACCTACTCTACGCTCTGCTCCCCACTGCCCAGATTTTCGTCGGGTTGCATCGAGTACAGTCGAAGACAAAATAACCGGACACTCGTATTTTTATTCAAACTACATGTATTATTGTCGATATTAATTACAACATACTTATTTTAATATAAACCAAAGTAACCGACATCAAAAATTCATAAGTTTTTATACAAATTATTTAATTATTATGGTTAGGAAGAAAATTGATCAAAACACGGGAATACCATTTGTTGATAGAATGAATTTAACCAACAATTTATTTCATGGTTTTGCTCATAAAATTACACCATTTTCGTCGAGTAGTGTCAGAACGGGACACTCATATTTTTTGTAGTTTATTTCAAAGTATGTGTATGTAATTTTGTCGTTATATTAATTACAACATTCTTATTTTAATATAACACAAATTAAACGAGATCAAAAATTCGTGAGTTTTTATACAAATTATTTAATTATGATAGTTAGGCAGAAAATTTATCAAAACACCGGAATGACTTCATTTAAAATCACTAATTTTCGTATTAATATCTTTCAATTATTTAAGGTTTTCAGATGAGATAAAAAAGTCAGTGTCATGAGCGGGATTCGAACCCACGATCTTCGGCTAGATACGCCGCTACTCGACCACTTGAGCTATTGTGACTTCGATCCACTCGAGCCCAACTTCCCATCTCAACGCCACCTTTTGAATTTTCCCTCCTTTTTGCCATTTTTCAAATGTCGTGTAATCTATTTGATTCTCGGCGACAAATGAAATGGCCACGGAGAGCTTTAGAGAAGATATACTTCATATTAACTTATTAAATTCACTAATTTTCGTGGTCCGCTTGACCAATTAATATCTTTCAATTAATTAAGGATTTTAGTTAAGATAAAAAAGTCAGTGACACGAGCGGGATTCGAACCCACGACTCGGACACTAAAATAGGAGGGAAAATTCAAAAGGTGAGGTTGATAGGAAGTAGTGTCCGAGTGGATCAAGTGGTAGAGCAGCGGCGTATCTAGCTGAAGGTAGTGGGTTCGAATCCCGCACGTGACACTGACTTTTTTATCTCATCTAAAATCCTTAATTTATTTAAAACAATTTATTTAACTAACAATTTATTACATGGTTGTGCTCATAAAATTTGGTTAACAATTTATTTCATGATTTTGCTAAAAATAATGCTTTAAGAACAAAAGATGCGTTGCGATTGTGATACTGATTTGTGACACACGCTGTGGACTGTACGTGGCGTGCGCTTGACGTCGGATAGATGTGCACACCCCAACAAAACGTGGGAAGGCGTCGGGTAGCGTCGCATGGCGTAGCATCGGGTAAATATGTTACCGGCTATAGCCTTTACTCGGAGGACAGTGAGAAACAAGCAAGCCCGGTCATTCTATATGAAGGGTCAATAGAGTGGATGTCTTGATGTTTGTCTTGATGTTTGTTTGTGGCGAGGCCTTAAGAATTTTAGTTTTGGTTTTGGCCCTGAAGTTACTGACGTGGCAAGGAGCTTTGATATTTTTTCTTGTGATTGGACGGCTTAAATGCGTTGGAAATGGGGTGATTTGGCGGAATATCTAAGTTTAGGTTCGACGTCACGGTCATTGAAAGGAAGTCAATCCAGTCAACATAGACATTATCAAGGATATGGGTGATCATAGACTGAACCTAGAAACCGGCATCGCTGTCACTTTTTATAAGGATAATCAGCAAGGATTCGGGACCACTGTTATGGGTTTTTTTCTTATATTGGGTTATTTCCGAGAAGCTTTAGAACTATGTTTAGGATGACTATTTGGTTCAAGTTTCTAGTCACGACAAAAAGTTCAGGCATTCGGCATATAGACAGGTCAAAGGCCATTTGATGGAATGATTTGGATGTGCCTAGGCAAAACACCACGCCATTTTTTACTGCCATAGTAAATTTTCCTGAAAGTTGGTAGTTTCCAGATACTTAAGTTTTTTTGGGAATTCCACTTCAGCCTGCTGTAGTATAGTCTGGTATCTTATTTAAGTCGATGTTATCATGTTTTTGTTAGTCTATAGTGAACGTTTTTTTTATAGTGGTCAGGTAGCATGGGACCAAGATTCTCCGTTGTGGGAGGCCGGCTTGTCTGTCTTCATGATTTGATGATGGCCCTGACACCTTCCTTAATGTCCAAAAATGAATAGTTCATGAAACTAAGATGAAACCCGTGATAAAGACCATAGAGGAACCATATGCAAAACCAATCCACCGAAGAAGTACGGTAGAGCGACAGAAAGAAATATCCGATTTTGCTAAGTAGCCAGACTGGACACGCATCACCTTAGATGGCATTTATGAATACATTCAGAAGTAACATTCAATCGATTTTTTCAAAATGAGAAAGGAAACCCCGGAACAAATAGTCGCTTTTGGGAAGTGTCTATTCAGGAATATATTTATGCTAAGGTGAGATAAAACAGCAAGCAGTCTCCTACAATAGAGGGCTCAGAGAATAGCACTGTAGACCTTTTAGGCTGAGATGCAAGTTGCCTTGATGGGAGATTTCACCTCAGTATGCAATCTTGATAGAGTTCTAAGTAAGTTGAGTTGATGTTGATCTCATTGTTGGTGGGCTGTAGTAAAGGTCACTTTTTAAAGGGACAAGGGTTCGGGACCACCGTTGTTTATGGGTTTTTTCTTTTATTGGGTTATTTCCGAGAGGCCTTAGAACTACGTTTAGGATGAATATTTGGTTCAAGTTTCTAGTCACGACAAAAATTTCAGGCATTGTGGATAGAGAGATGTCAAAGGACATTTGGTAGGAAGATTTGGATGTGCTTGATATTGAATCTTGATATAGTTCTAAGTAAGTTGAGTTGATGTCGATCTCTTTGTTGGTGGAATGTAGTAGAGTTCCGTTCTGTTTTTTAAATGAAAATGTACACTGAATGCATATTACCTAGTTCAGTTTTGTACTCCTTTTTGTACGCTAATTTTTGATAACCAAAACATATCTTTAGTGTACGAGGTGCCTTGAATAAATTCTGAGCAAGTAAGCACAAAAGCTGCATTATCATGAATGTTATTGGGCTGTAGAAGTGAGTCAGCATGGTATAAATAATGGGACCAAGGGTCCCAGCCCCTGCTGTTTTATTCAAATATGTAATTATTCTTTGTTGCACCTCATTCTGAACCTGCAGTCAGTTTAACAAGGTAATAAAAACCGTACAAAAGGAGGAGAAAATGATGTGAATCCAGGATCGGTATTAATTGTTTAAAAATGGTATTCCGAGTTTGTTAGACATCACACGAAGAAGG